ATTATATATACCATTTGTGTAAAATTATTCCTGCGATGCATTACAAAAGTTAGGAGGTTTAATAAGTTTTTATTGTAGAAGGGGACAAGCAGCAAAAGCTGTAGTTCCACCTAAATCTTTGGACACTGCTTTGCTGCACTTCAATCCATGGATGCATTGGTAATGCTCTTGTTCTAGTTGCCATAAACTAGATATGTCTCGGTTATTGTTGTTTTATTATTGAAGTGTGAGTTTTATTCTTAACTTCTTGATTCAAAAACCCACAATTTGCTACTTATTTAGGATGTCGTTCCGTTAGTAGACAAAAACCCTAAATCCCATAATGCATTGCGGTGAAAGCTACCGGAAACACTTGTTTTGACCCCTCGTTGCTTTGTGGGTAGTAGGAAAAAAGGCTCAAAAACCCTGTGAAAGCGACAAACGCACGTTGCAGTTTTGCTACAGCAGAATATAGAAAAAAGTAACCTTATTCAAATCAAGATCGAGGTAAATACCTAACCGAACCTTAACTATTGGGAGAAAACTCGTTACATATATCTTTAATGTAAAAACCGTTTGGTGATTAGCTGTTATTGTGAAGCTAATTGATTCAATTGCTTTCGTTGTTGCGTCGGATTTTCCATGAATTAAATGCGAATCTTAAAGAGAACGTGTAAAGCTGTTGGATAAATACAGTAATTGCGTTCAATTACATCTATAGATTTGCCTAAACTGTAAGGTTTCCATTTAGTGAGTAGAAATCTTGTAGCGTAGCATCGTTAGCTACCGTAGCTTATGTAGCTAACCTCTCTGCTAGCTAACTGACATTCTTTGCTAATTGTCTGTGCTACCAGACGATGGGTTCGTTGTTGTAATAATTGCTTTGAATATCTGTTGGCATTGTGTTTTTCGGGATCTGTGAAAAAGGTTTTACATTTCGTAGGTCATTTTTAATTGCATTTTTTTTAACGCATTTCTTTTAATAAACTCCTTAAATTCAAGAAATTTGTCCTGCTTAGCTAATTCAACTTAATTCATGAGATGCTCTTATTTTCAATTTCATTTACAAAGAACAAACTACTTTCTTGTCGACAGTCGTACATTTTTATTAAGGCTGAAACAGTTAGTCGCGATTAATCGATTATTGAAATAATCGTCAACTAAGTAAGTAATTAGTTGTTAACTGGAGTGTAGGGACTGAAACATGCCTGTAGCTGATAGAGCAACCCTCTTAGAGCAGTAATTATACAAACAAAAAAATAAATAAAATAAAAAATAACACTAAGTAAAAAAAAAAAAATATATATATAAAGTAATGTCAATAGGTTCTATCCAGAACTCCTCAAGTGGAAAAGTCTAAGTTTCATCTGGTTTAAATTAGTAACAAATCTTCTTTAGGGGACCTTTAGCTATCCGATTATTAATTGATTAATCGACTGATTAATCGATTTGCAAAATAATCGTTAGTTGGGGCCCTAGTTTTCATAATCTTTGTTTGTTCATGTTTTAGGACACAAAGTAATACATATGCAAATGCAACTTTATACATCAAATGGTTATTTATACAGAAAAAGGCTTCTGTAACTTATGTGAGAAAAAGTTTAATCATAACAGAACCACACTTGTAGTTGTCTGGAACCACTTGGAAGATTTTAATGAGAAACATCTTAAGAAATGGAAACAAATAAATTCATAGAAATAATTTCGTTGATTGGTCCCTGCAAATCCACATTACAAGCAAATATAATATAGGTTACCTCTCTGTCTATATATGTAAGAAGTTATTTTTACCTTGTTAATCGTTCAGATTTTTGAAAATCTGGTCTGTTTTTTGTTTTGTTTGATTGTAATTTGGGTTTTGACTGAATGCCAGACTTTTATTTTCCTGCATTGATTCACATTAATCTCCCCCATTTCCAACTTTACTTACAACTTAGTAACCCTTAGTAACATAACCTTTAAGGTTATGTACCTCACCAATACAGAAACTAAAAACAAGTTTCTAATTCAGTTAACAAAGCTTGTATGCTCTATAAGCATTTTTTTTTGTAAATATGACCAATTTGTCCTACTGTGCTCACTTGATGAAACGGTTTTTTTTTTTTGTACTTTTTTATTTTGTATCTGATGGTGTATACAGTTTGGTCTGATTATCACCACATCCCCCCATATGAAGCTTGCAGTTTATGAATGTTACATGGAGTTTAGTGGATTTATTTAAGGCTACTAATGTTTTGTTTGATTTAAAAAAAAAAAAACACACAAAAGCTAAACATTTTGATTAAACGCATCATAGTTAATTCCTTTATTTTTTACCATATTTCCTAAATTAGTCCATATTCTTTCTTTGAAATCTAGCATTCTAATAAACATAGTCATTGCAATGACTTCATTTCTTTCAACAAGGTGGATGTTCATTGGTGATGGTGGTGCTTCACCTATCCCATCACATATTTTGGAAAGAATTAGGCAAACAAGCAATGTTTATTACGTAAATAATTTAAAATGGCAGGAGTTAACTGTACTTGTTATTGTATGCAACAGGAAACTTTGTACCGTGTTTCCATTATCTTATGGTCCTTGTAATTTAATTCAATCTCCAGCTATTTTTTCTCTTGGTGTTTTGTGCTTTGCATTTGTGTATAACTTTGCTGCTAATGCTGAGGATTTACTCAGAGAGAACCCAACACAGGGTTCTGATACATTGTATAGCAGCAGCTGTCATAACATTGTTTGGTTGTGGTTGTTTTCCAGGAATACTGTTAAAAAATGTCCATTGGGGTACCAATCAAGGTCCTGCATGAGGCAGAGGGACACATTGTGACCTGTGAGACCACCACAGGCGAGGTTTACAGAGGCAAGCTGATTGAAGCTGAAGACAACATGAACTGCCAGGTTGGTTCAGATGATGTTTTGTAACTGTATATAATCACCAATTGTAACATTGAAGAGGCACATGTCCAATTTTAGTTTGCAATGGAAAAACTGGCTCATTAGAACTTTTCTGGGCCGAATATTTGCAAACCATGAAGGGGTCAGCAAATTAAAAACTTTACTTGGCTGTTCTGATTATTCATTGGTCATCCAATCAGATTTTACTATGCCAAACAAATCATTCAAATGCACTGTTATTAAGTTACTTCGGATGATTTAAATAGCACCAACTTGACACATCATCCAGTATTGTGTGATGTTTGTGAACATTTTGTATTTGATAGCCCCAGAATATCTAGTTGATGACAGCTCCTCACACTCCTTTTTTTTCTGATCTGCTCTCTTGGATTTTTATTTATAGGGTTTTCCAAATGCGAACTCTGGATCATTAATGAATTTATGAATCATGTAGTAGAGTCAGGCTGCAAAATGCATCTTAACTGTGTTGCCACAGGGTGCCTGTAGGCTTGGTAAATGCCATTAAAAAGCTATTTATATGATCTGATTTTTATTTAATTTTTTTGCTCTATCCAACATAGCTTAATTGCTCAAATATAGTTTAATGTCAGTCTATAAATTATTATTTTTTTTCCATTAGAATGGCAGTTATGTTAAATGTTGGAGTCGCTTAACTTTCTGCGTTTTTGTGTCATTCTGAGTCACTGAGATGGTACTTATGAGACTGTGTTCTCTTCATACAGATGGTGATGAAATTTTTTTTGTATTGAGTTAGGTTTAATTTACAAATGTTTTACAGATCACTTGTTTTTACCGGGGTAAAATAAGTAACCTGTAATTTTTGTAATAGTTCTTGATTTTGAATTTTTTTTAACTTTACCCCTTGCGGGTTTTAAAAAAAAATTGGGATGTTTTCAATAACTTTAGTTACTCTTCACTAAAGTCAGAAAGTTCCCTCCACAGCTGCAACTCTGTTGTGTTGGCATAAAACAAAAAACTGTGAGAGAATTAAAAGTCAAGGTAATTCCTGCATATTCCCTGTGCAATAATAATGTTTTGTAATGTTACTTTCAGAAAGCTCTGTTATAATGCAGAGCTGGTTAAAAAACGAACTCACTCTTTGCATTCCAAAGTAATCATTAACTGCTAGATGGAATCTTAGTGCGGCAGGTTCACATATTTGACACAAATTACAATTCCCAAGTTGCAAAGCACAATTGATCATAGAAAGCTTAAATGAGATGAATAAGTTTGAAAAATTATAGATGAAACTTCATAAAAAAAATTATTTGCTGAGGTTTTTTTTTATAAAAAAACTGCTCTGTAAATGACAGGATATATTATTAGTTCAAATTTAAGAGTGATCCTGTTTATGAAATTCTTCTTGGATCGTCACCATGAAGTAAGTTTTCACAATATCAAAGTTTTAACATAGTATAACAATATAATCTACAACACTTGTTTCAACTTTTAATGCTGAAGACTGGAAGAAAGATAAAGTTTTGATGCGGAGAAAGACTAGAAAGTAACTCGCTGGTAGTGCCTCTGAAGTGATAGTAGACGGGAGATTAGCTGTTTGTTCCTCACATAATGTTTATATTTATGGAAAATCTGATGCTGAATTTGAACTTTACTTTTTTAACTTCTCTTTATAGATGTCAAATATTACGGTGACCTATCGCGATGGACGGGTTGCGCAATTGGAGCAGGTCTACATCCGAGGAAGCAAGATCCGTTTTCTGATCTTGCCTGATATGTTAAAGAATGCTCCCATGTTGAAGAGTATGAAGAACAAGAACCAGGGATCTGGTGCAGGAAGAGGCAAGGCGGCCATTCTAAAAGCACAAGGTGAGTGGAACGTGATTTTGATGCTCCTTAAAGGTTTACTAGAGTGGACATAATAGTCGATGTGTGTGGGAGATTGTCAAGGTTGCAAATAGTGTAAATAATTCCTAGTCTGTATTTTTTTTTAAGCAATATATATTTTTTCTGTAGTTGTTTTTGGAAAATCCATTGTGATTTCTTTGGGACATATATTTCTTCCCCACTTAATTAGTAAAATGCATGGTTTTGATTTTTAAATCCTTTTTGTCTGTTACAGTGGCTGCAAGAGGGCGAGGTCGTGGTGGAATTGGAAGAGGAAACATCTTCCAAAAGAGGCGATAACTTTTTAATTTTTTTGTTCCATTTTTGTCTTCTTTGGATTTGAAATAATTTGATATTTGGTATGCTGTGCTTTTTGCCATTCATCCCGTTGATTTTATTTTGTATTGAAATAAACACCTTTCAGATTACAACCCCCAGTCTGTCTTTACTTTGATTTTGTGAGCTGCTTTCATTTCTTTTCAGGATTGCAAGGCCATCATTGGGATTTAACCACAACAGCAGTTAATTGAAATTTTTATTCTGATTGATTTATGTGAAATCTCAATATAAATGGCAGTTTGTGGTTTTGATGTAAAATCATGGAGAAATTCCAAATTGCTTGGAAAGAAACTCGGTAAGCTCAACATAGTTCAAACTAATTTGAGGGGGGAAAAAAACTAAAATATCATCTTGGTCAATCTAAGTATTTATTACAATATCAAAATGAAAACATTTATTTTAATAAGACTTAACAGATTAAAACATGCAAAACCTTAATATTTACTTTTTAAGAACAATAGTATTAACAAATGTCATATTTAAGAACATAAATGCATTAGACAAACTAGAAAAGCATTTTGAGAGCGCAGACCTCTGCCAAGTAGCACATTTTGCCACATACTGTTACCCCTATAGCGAAAGCTCACACATGATCTGGGTTATTACTAAATGTTCAGCTCTCACCTTCATTGTCTCTGCTTAATTATTCAGCAGTTCAAACTTCAAGTGAGGCATGTCTCACCTTTCTGTTGTATTCTTGCCAAGTATAATACTTCTGAACTTTTTTGAGTCAGATGCTGAAGCTGTCAATAGTCACTTCAGCCACACTGGTTTAGGAGGGAGGTGCTTGTTCTGCCAAATAATCCTTAAAAATTACTATATGGTACCCAGTTCAATAACCTCTTTCTCTATATTTGACACCCAGTTGTATAAATATAACTATCCATCTATATAAATACCGGGTGACAAAAAACAAAACAAAAAAAAAAACCTGTCATGAACTATACTATATTACAGATATCCCATGTACCTTTTTTCTTCCTTTGGCACCTTCAACTATTTAAGCTAATGTAACAAAAAAAATCCTGCATCCTGCTAATGATGTGGATCATCACTAAAATGTAATGGATTATTTGTACCCAGGTGCACCTTTGGTAAAAAAAAATCATTAAAATCCGTTCTTAACTTTCCTTTACACAGACGGACACAAACTTGACTAGGAAAATAATCTTGGCTGGATTTAAAAATGCAAATAAATTACTCGCGTGCAATTCCCCAACTCATCAACAGGAGGCGGTGTTGCGTAGCGCAGATCCAAAATTAAGAATCCTGAAGTGTTTTACTGAAGTGAGGAAAAATGAAAGGAACGAGAGGTAATGCACAGCGCCTCCGTTTATGAGGCAGGGCTGTGGGGGTGTGTTTTTCTCCATTATATAAGTGAAGACAGGCTTTCGGTGGTCTTATAAACCGCTGCTCCATCACAGCATCGGCTGTCAGTCTATGTTCTCACAGCTAGCTAGCTGCCAGCAGCCGCCTACTGTAACATCTCTACTGGAAGAAAAAACCTCCAAATTCGTATTTCTTTAACGTCTCCAAGGTAAGACTTGATATCCGAATACCTTTATATGGCTGCGGTGGCTTAATGTGGGGATTTCTTTTAACAGTAGATTGGTTTCTATCATAATCGACGCCCGTTACCGAAACATCTGTCTGTTAACAGCTGCTAATGTTAGCCGAGCTGCTTCACTTTGAAGCTCAGAAAGGATTTAGCGCTCTGGGACGGAGGTAATGGTTATATTCGCTTTCATTTGGACAGCAAATACCCTTGTTTGGTGTTTTGTTGGTTGAAATAAATGTTATAAGTTGGTAAATAACGCAATTTAGCTAAAACTTGAGAGGAAATATAATAAATACTGACAGCCGCCCATAACTGCTATGTCGTTAGTTTAATCCCGGATTTAACTAAAAGTTTTCTATGTAACAACTGTAATGTGCTCCTGTCTAAGCTGAAATATCTCCACTACCTTTTAATGTAACATTGGAACATTGAGAATCTAAAGTTGCATCATCATTTATTTGTTTTTGTCGATAAACATGATGGGTTTTTAAAATATTTAAGCCTGACCTTTAAATACATTTGTATATTTATACCAGGAACACTAACCTATCCATACTATAATGTGACAAAATGTATCTCCATAGCCATTGCCATCTATGTTTAGTCTTCACATCTCAAAGTCCCATGAAGCAGATGGGCAGTGTGGGGCCAGAGTCGATTAGGATTTGATACAAAATATTTTTTTTAACTTGTTATATCAAATACATTATAAATAAATAGCAAAAACTGTTTTCTATCAGCACTTTAATGTACTTAGCATCTAAAAATACAATCAAAAAGAATAACACAACTTGATAGGAAAGAACCTAAAAAAGTGGCACTTTAATCTGAGGTTTAAACTGTGAATGTCTTAAAACGGGGGTCTTAAATGTTTTCCAGACCAAGGACCCCCAAACTAATGACGAGATGGAATGGGGACCCCTTAATTATATATATTTTATGACATTGTGTAATATGAAACTGGTCCTATAGTTACTCTATTACCAATGGAGTCATGTAACGAAAGTCCCCTGGGATTGGGATGCCCTTGGATTATTAAAGTGATTCTGATTCCTGGTTGATGGGACAGGTGTTGTGAATGAAACGTTACCCAGCTTGAAAGAGCTCCTGTGTGTTGTTGAATGTGTGCATTGATGACTGAAAGACATCTTCTGCCTCCATTTATCAGTTAACTACAGTGTGTTGAATTCATGTTAATGTTTATTTAAAGACATTTCAATTGGTGGAAAAAAAAAATTGCAAGGGGAATAAAAAAAAAAAAAGTCTAATCAACCAAAACATTCACAACCCCCATGCAGTACCTCTGTGGACCCGCTAGGGGTTGCGTACCCCTTGTTGAAGACCTCTGTCTTAAAAGAAACCTGTTGTTTATGTTAAGTTAATAAGAAAGTGAGTTTCCAGCCACTTAACTAGGGCTTTAACTAACAATTATTTTGCAAATCGAAAAAGCTGTAGATTTTTTTAATAGGATAGAAAAAGTTTCCTCAAAGAAGTTTGTTGCTTTTTGTATCTCTGCTTCTGTCTCCTTGAACCCCAGTCGGCCTCAGCAGATGGCCGCTCACACTGAACCCGGTCTATAAGTTGACGCAATCAACTGGTTTTGCTTACATAGAAAACTTTGGACCAATCTGACTGTATGATCTGGTTGAATTGTCTCTATAAAGTGCCTTTGGATGACGTGTTGTGAATTGGCGCAATATAAATATTCGTAAAAGATCTTTTACGAATGTAAACCAGGTGAAACTGGAAAACTTTTCAACTTCAAGGGTTCTGGATAGAGAATAGTGATAGAATTTTTTATTTCTTAAATTCAATTTTATTTAATTTTTTTATCAAACCCTAGTGATTGTATCAAACCCTAGAAGTTTGATACAATCACTGCTAGGGTTGTCACGATACTAAACTTTTCAACTCGATACCGATACTAAGTAAAATATTCGATACTCGATACCATTTTCAATACCACAAGGATAAAAACAAAGACTCTAAAATTCAACAGAAATATTTTCATTAGTAAAAAAATACAAGAAATAAATAAAAAAACAATAAGAACAATATTTTGAGGTTTTTATGCTGTGCACAATATTAAGCGAGCTTGATAAAAAACTTACAAAATTAAAATTAAGTGTTCCCTCCTTGGCTATGCTTTGCACACAAAACAATGACACTAGCCAAACCAGGTAAACAAAAATAATTCTCAGCAGCTGCACCTGTTACAAAAAAAGTCTGAAACTGAAAAATGCACAGAATTATTCAATCACACAGTGTTCAGAAAGTGCATTTTCCACTATTCTGCACTTTGGATGGCTGTATCGATACTTTTAAAAACAAGTATTGTATCCGGATACAACGTTTCAGTATCGATACTTTTTTGAGTATCGATACTTTTGACAACCCTAATCACTGCCCTAAGTGGGTCTCTTTGTCAGCTAAAGGAATGTATTACAGTCTCTATACTCCAGTTAATGATTAATCGATTACTAAATGATTTGACGATTATTTAAATAATTGCTTATCACGATTTATCCGATTAATTGTTTCAGCTCTACATTTAACCCGTTCCCTTTCCTACTTTTGCTTGTGCTGCCAGTCAGCTGGCTGAAAGGCTACCACACTTTTACACAGCACCTTTGTTTCCGCTTGTCTATGTGCAAATAAATATCAAATTAACTTGTAAACTAAATGCTGGTGGTGTCAGCATTGTATTTTTTTGTTTTTTCCACAAATCATTATTACTAGTGTAACACTGTATAAGTAGCAGGTCTATTAAAAAGCTGGCAATTTATTAAATAGTCTTTGTCCAAAATAATAAAATAAATATGTGTGTGATCTCTCATAACAATAATATTCAATGTAGTCCATCTAATTACTGCTTTCCTATTTTCCCCTTTTAACTTTTTAATTTATTTATGAAGTGGGGTTTCTGTTTATTTTTGCATTTTTATTCATTTTAATCCACCATTCCTAGCAGGTTTGTGTAACTACAACCAAAACTCTACAGTCTGGAGTCGATTTAGGAATATAATGTGTAGTAAAACTGAAGATGTATTGAATTTGCTTTTAAATTATAGGTTGGGACTCATCATAGAACAGTAGGTGGTATTGCCTTGACTAAAAGCAATAACAAAAATATTTCAATTGCAGCTGAAATATTCTGAAATAAATACTTTCTATTAGATATTAAATATAATAGAGAAAGGGGTCATGCTGGGACCAGTGCCTTTCTCTGCCAGTGTATTGGGAAAGGTGGAGTAGTAAACCCTGTACAGGTCACCAGTCTGTTTCAGGGCAACAAAGAGACATATAACCATACACACACATTGAGGTCACAGTCATATTTTTGGAATGTGGGAGGAAGCTTCTGTACTGGGAGAGAGCCCATGCATTCATGGGTAGAACGTGCAGAAAGACCCTGAACAGGGAATCAAACCTGGAACAAGGTTACAGTGTTACAAACTGTTGCACCATGCAGACAATATTATTCGTTATTCCTTTCTTTTTCAGTTAAGTTTGACAACCTGATATGAGTCACAG